AGACTCGGGTAGGTCAGTAAGTGTGGAGTTTTAACTGGGGGCCTTCCAGAACACATGAAGGAATTTCGTCATTGTCCACAGCGCCAAGACACCTAAGTATTTAGGCAGGTAAGTGGTGTGGTTGGATTGCTGCCGTTGTCAGGTGTTGTTGAGTTGGTTCTGACCCAGAGCGGCCCCTCTGTACACCAGAATGAACACCGCCCAGCCCTGCGCAATCGCTCTGATGTTGGAGTCCATTGCTGCAGCCACTGTGCAGCCCGTTTAGTCACGGGTCTTCCTCTGGCACACCGCCTCTCCACTTCACCAAGCACGGTGTCCTTCTCCAGGGACTAGTCTCTCCTGATACCATGTCCAAAGCCCATGAGACGAAGTCACTCAGAAGTCACTCATCCTTAGCTCTCAGGAGCATCCCGGCTGCCCTTCATCCAAGCAGATCTGTGTGTTCTTTTGCGGTTCATGGTACTTTCGCTCTACTTTACCAATCCTAGTTCAAATGCATCAATTTTTGTTCAGTCTTCCTTATTCAGTTTCCAACTTTCAGATGCATAGGAGGCCATTGAAAATCCCATGGCTTGGGTCAGCGTGCACCTTAGTCCTCAAAGTAACATTCTTGCCTTTCAACGCTTGGAAACAGATTGTACCGATACAGTGCATCGTTTGATCTCTTGACTTCTACTTCCATGAGCACTGATTGTGGATCCGAGCAAGACAAAATCCTTTTACAACTGCAATCTCTTCCCCCTTTACCGTGATTTGAAGAGATCCTGTGGCTACAATGAGAAGAATGGATTAGAGCGTTAGCAGGAGGGAGGCCGTTTCAGTGGTCCAAGCCAGAGATCCGGGATAGCATTGGTAGAGATGGACAGACTGCAAGGTATTTGAGGACCTTGATGTTGGGGACCTTTGGCTGTAGCGACCGGTATATGGAGATCAAAAGCTGCACGCACAGAGATCAGGTGTGGGAGTGGGGATACAATGAGCTGGTTTTTTTCTTAAAGGGGAAACATGAGCCTAGAGGAGCCTAACTGAGCTTAGAGAAGACTGTGGGGCCTAGTTGTGAGGGCCTAGGTAGACCAGGAGAAGGAATAGGTCTTCTGCCCTAAGAGCTCTAGAAATGGATGTCCAATCTCAAGTCAGAAGCAGAAGGAGCCTAGGCAGCCCATACTCTGCAGAGAATGGCCTACTGGCTCCCGGGGGAATGTTTCTCTGGCCAAGCAGTCACCGCTTGAAGCTAAGGAGGTTACATTGGAAGGTGCTTGGAGCCTGACGAGAAAGCAGATGCGTGTGTGGCCCCAGAACAGGGGGTGGGCAGGAAGCCTGGGAGTCAGCTGCCAAGAAGCGAGTGTTCAGAAAGTGTGGGCGGGATTGGCAGAGCAGGGCACCCAGCCAGGGCAGAGGTGAAAGCATGGCGCTGAGCCTTGAGGAAGGGCTCCCTGCTGGCTGAGAGGCGGGCGAGGCCTCGGGATGACCATGCATTCATTCAGCTGATGCATTCATTCAGTAACTCGCCAGACATTTGATTGAGCGGGGGTGGGGGTGGGGGGAGCGTTGTTTTAGGCATTGAGATCATCGCAGTGACCACGAAAACTTCTCAGCTGTCAGGAATGCACCTTCTAGAGAAGGAGATGGAACACAAGATCAGAGTAGATATGTCACTTTTGGCAAAATAAGTGAATCTATTTCAGAAGGATCAACATAACATAACGCTGGTTCCTATGAAGGGAAAGTTAAAAATGTCTGAAGTTACTAGTCCTTGCCGACTGCTGTATCAACCCCATCAGCTCTAGCACAAATTATTTCTCCTTTCCTCAATACTCTTCCTGCCTTTCGGTTCTGTAATTTGCTGCAACGTTCCAGAAAATTCATGAACCATCAAGGAAATGGCTTACGAGGTTGTGGAGCCTGGAAGCCCCAATCCATGGGCCACATGTCAGGCTGAAGGAGTCTCCTGACTCACATGGTTGTAGGGTAGCGGTTCTCAACCTGTGGGTCGAGACCCCTTTGGGGGTCGAGCGACCCTTTGTCAGAGGTCGCCTGATTCATAACAGTAGCAAAATTACAGTCATGAAATAGCAACAAAAATAATTTAATGGTTGTGGGGTCACCACAACATGAGGAACTGTATGAAAGGGTCACGGCATCAGGAAGGTTGAGAACTACTGTTCTAGGGGGTGATGAACCTGGATTGGCAGGTTAGGTGAAAAGCTGCTGGCTTACAGAGCTGTGAAAATCAGGGAATTAGGTCTGAAGGTAGGCATCTGAGAGGTGACACCTGAGCAGGTCCAATTGAGGTGAATGACAAAGAGTTGGCCATGGTAGAATCAGAGGGCACAGCAGCCCACCCTAAGCAAACAGCCCGGGTAAAGACCATGGAAAGCTACATGGCCAAAAGTATGGGCATGAGGGCAGGCAGCAGTGCTTGACCACGAAGAACTCAGGCCTGTACTCGCAAGCTTTCCATAAGACCAGATTGTACACCTCAGGGTTTGTGGGCCATCTGGTCTCTGTTGCAATTGTTTTAACTTTACCATATGATCTAAAAACCCTCACAGATAATATGTAAGTGAATGAGCACGACTGCTCTTTCAGTAAAACCTTATTTACAAAGACAGGCAGCAAGCAAGATTCCAGTAAAAATGGCAGAGTAAATCCTTCCGTAGTTTCTCCTCTGTACAAGCATTGGTAAAAAGTAGGGGCAGCTGTCAGAATGAACCTTCCCAGAACTCTGGAAATTTGTCACACATAGGAACCAGGGGGCATTTGCTTGAAAACAAAATCAGCAGCAGAATGGTGGTGGATGACACCGAGCTGGGTGGCATCGTCCAGTCTCGGTCCCCAGCCCAGTGGGAACCTTGGAAAATAATAGCCTGTATGTCTGGTACTGGGCGGGGCGGGGCAGAAGTGGAGCGCTTTCAAAACGTTCTGCCGAAACAATTGCCGTGTTGAGTCATCTCTTGACTCC